GTCAATATTGGTGTAAATCAAGAACTTGGGACTCTCAGATGGAAGGAAAGGAGCTTTAGACAAGGTCATGACCAATGTGTTCTTGTCCTGGCCTTCCTCCAGACCAGGGGTAGGCAACCTTTCCCCTTTAAGGGCCGAGGGACTTCAGCTCCCAGATTCCCAGGAGCTATTGGCCAACATGGGACTATTGGCCAACATGGCTGAGGCTTCTGGGATCTGAAGTCCCTCGGCCCTTAAAGGGGAAAGGTTGCCTACCCCTGCTCCAGACCATCTAGCTTCATGGCCTATCCCTACCCAAACAACTTTTTTCCCCAGTAGTGGTTCCCTTGGTTCCTATGCCAATGGAGTGATGGATATGCTCTGAGTTTTACTTTGAACTTTAAACCAGCCTCCATTGGTTTTGGGGAGCATGATCCAAATACATATCATGAGACCCTCCCCAAACTGACACCACAGTCCAGCATTCCATGCACACAAGCTCATGAGTCACGAAACAAAACTTTGGACCTTATCACACGGGGTCCGAGCAGTCGCATCCCCGTCCCATTGCGCTTCCTTCCGGTCGCGGGAAATGTAATTCCCATTTCAACCAGGAATCCAAAAGAACGGGGATGATACGGGGATGCAACAGGGATGCGACAGGGATGGGCGGGGTTTCCCTGCGACGTTGTTTGATCACCCAGGGAAAGGAAGCGCAATGGGATGGGGATGCGACCGGGATGCGACGGGGATGGGCGGGGTTTCCCTGCAACGTCGTTTGATCACCCGGGGAAAGGAAGCGCAATGGGACAGGGATGCCACGGGGATGGGACTGCTTCAGACCCCCATGTGATAAGGTCTTTTGGTTTAATTCTGAAATTAGCTATAGAGTCTTTTGTTGTTGTTGTTGTTGTTGTTGTTAGCTGCCCTTGAATTGACTCTGACTCATGGCGACCCTGTGGATGAGACATCTCCAAGAATCCCTACCTTCCACTGTCTTGCCCAGATCCTGCAAGCCTTTCCCTATAACCCCCCTGATTGAGTCTATCCATCTAGTTTGTGGTCTTCCTCTCTTTCTTCTACCTTCTACTTTTACTAGCATTATTGTTTTTTCTAGGGATCCATGCTTTCTCATTATGTGGACAAAGTACAATAGTCTCATCTTGATCATCTTTGCTTCCAAGAAGAGCTCTGGTCTGATCTGTTCAAGAACCCATTTGTTTGTCATCTTGGCTGTCCATGGTATCCTAAGTACTGTTCTCCAGCACCACATTTCAAATGAGTTGATTTTCTTTTTGTCTACTTCCTTCACTGCCCAGCTCTTGCATCCATACATGGTAACTGGGAATACAGTGGCCTGAACAATTCTGACTTTAGTGTTCAGTTGTCTTTGGTCTTCAGTATCTTTTCCAGTTCTTTCATAGCTGCCCTCCTCATTCTTAGTCTTCTTCTTATTTCTTGAGTGCAGTCTCCATTCTGGTCAATGTTTGATCTGAGATATGGGAATTCTTTAACTATTTCAATTTCCTTGTTGTCTAGATTGAAGTTGTGTACTTATTCTGTGGCAGTTATTTGTTTTCTTTATGTTCAGCATCAGACCTGCCTTTGTACTCTCATCTTTGACGTTTCTTATTAACTGTTCCAATTCCTGAATGTCTTCTGCTAATATTATG